TGACTCCTTTTAAGAAACGTGCCTGTTTGATTCATGGCAGTGACTGAGGGGGCGCAGTCGTTTAAAGGCAGTTTGAAGGAGGGGATGAGGCTCTCTCTGCAGCCCAAACATTACATAACACAGCTTCACTGATGCAACCCAGTACAATGCTCAACGCCTCCAAACATCATAGAAATACACAGGGCTCCGCAGTCAGCCCGCCTGCTGCATCCCACATGCTAAATGATTCTCACCATTCATCGCCCGTATGCCACAATACCACACTGGATCTCTCTGCAGGTCGAGTACTCTTGTTGTATAATGTTTTAGTGATTGCAGCGTTCCAATATTTATCGAAACACAAGCTCGAACAAACAAATTTCAAAGTGGGAAACGCTGCGAATGATGCCTAGAGAGCACAGGAGGATAGGAGGAGGGAAAGTAAGGTAAAAATGGGGAGAGGAGGATGGGCCAAGTAGATGAAGATCAAGGAGCTGCATTTAAAGGAAGTGACAGAGGAGAGGAAAGAGGGGCTGGGAGGGAGCCAAGGTTGAGAATGAGGCTGAGAGGGGCAGAGGTGTCAAGGGAGAGCAGATGAAACAGAGGATGAGGCAGTTGTTGGAGGCGGATGCGGAGAGGAAGAGCTACGTGAAACAATACAGGGATAAAGGGCACTTGGGATGGAGGAGTGAAAAAGAGGGGCGGGAGGAAGGTTGATAGAAAGCAAGAGATAAAAAAAAAAACACACAAAAGCACTCAAGCAGCTGAAGTGGAGAGTGGAGAGGATGAAAGCAGAGGAAAGAGCAAGGGAGAGGGAGGTACAGAAGGAGAAGAGAGAGTTTTGTCAGTAAATGATGAAGGACTCACAACATGAAGTCTTGCTCCCAGCTGGGCAAGTTGCCCCTGACAGCAATGGTTGTGCTCTTCACATTTTGTACCTTTAGAGTCACATACGTGTTGAACTTCTCTGTTAAGGAGAGAGAGATGAAGAAAGAGATGCATTACAATGAAACACCTCTGCATTGGAAAATAATAATGTAGTCCCTGTGAGATATAGAGTGAGTTTTATTCTACAGAGCAACTGACTCCCCATCCCTTAATTTCCATTCATGGCTGCAGCATGTAATGTGTCCGCAGTCTGCTTAAAGATTTATGTCACATAACAGCGAGTCTCCCCCCCCCGTGTGATATCTCTTTCTATTTCCAGGATCCCAGGTCTTACCTTGGGGTCCATCCAGCTTGGCTTTCTTCACTGTGGAAACACAGAGAGGGACAGAGTCACACACAGGAACACCATCTGTTTTCACTCCTGAACGCTCCTGCATCCTTTGTTCTGGCTTTTACACAGTGAACGGGCAACAAGAGGACACTCGTGATAAATTAAAACAGTCTGTGAATTTTATTAAAACAAAAACTACATGAAACACGTGGAAATCACAGTAAAAACATTATGAAGACTATTTTAACACATTTTAGATATATTTTCTAATCACCACTAACTGGCAGAGAATATACAGTGCATATTACATGAGTGCTGACGCAGGAAACTAAAACTAGGCCGATTCGGACTAAGTGTTGTGTCTTTTTTGCCATAAGGCCCAGAAATGTTAGCGCTGAGTGTGGTGGCAAAACACGCAGTGCTGGAAAAAACATGGGCGGCTTTCCCGCTGTGCTTCATCAATGTGGGTTAGAGAAGCAGAAACAGAAAGAAGTGACGTATACCTACACGCCAATAAAAAGAACCACATAGCACATATTAAACAGATCACAAAAATAAGGACATTTTTATTAGAGATGTGGTGTAAAATCAAGTATAAAACCATAAAATCATTTTTCAGAAGTGTATTAATAAACACATCCACATGCAAGGGCTCAAGCTTGTCTGTTTGGGATGGTCTTCACTGTACAAGCATTCAGAGGGAAGATTCCCACCTCTATCGAAGACATGTTTCAGTGTACAGTTAAAGCCCAGGCTTTCTCTCTGCAGCACCTTTTTACCAGCTTTGACGTAACTCGCACATACATTTTAATGCTCTACTACCCGGTCCTCTCCACCGTGAGCACACATGCTCCATGAGATTCCCCACCACACTGCGGTACATCGCAGGTTTGTAGTAATAAACCGCAAGCTCAATAAGCTACGTCGCCGAAAACCTGCACCTTTATCGGCCCTTGAGAAACGCGACTTGAACACCAATTCACGGCTTATCTGGTAATATTCTCCACAGACCATCCACACCAGGACCAGTCGCCATAGTAACCACCACAAAATGAAAAGTTGATGGAAAATTGCCCAGAGTCAGCAAGGCACTTTTTTGTTTTCTATTTCTCACTACTTCTACTTCAAATGTCTTTCATCCAACACACACGAACTCAAGGTAGATCTGCAGCTTAAGTACCATGCTGTTACATCAGCACACACACACACACACTTAACTGCAGTGACTCACTCAAATACACCTGCAGCAATGATAAAAAAAAAGAAAGAAAGATGGATCTCTGCTTCCACTCATTCATACTTCAGCAACCTTAATGTCAACTCAACATGTCCAACACACACAAACAAACATTTGTGCATTTGGATCTTTTACGTCGAGTAAAAATGCCGCTCCACTTTAGTACAACACAACACAGAGAAGACAAGAAAGAAACCAAGCTGTGTTTGTAGCAGTCCTCTACAGTGTTTAGACAGAGCCTGAGTTTCCTGTGTTTTAGTGTCAACAGTAAAACAGCCCTGGAAATAAATCAGTACATGAGGAGGATCAATAAAAAAGGAATTGGATTCTTGACAGTGGAAAGCTGAAGCTTAATAATAGCACACAATCATACATCTTTCTGACAGGGTGAGCTACGATAAGAAATGTCCACAAGCCCCACAAACAACATTTTGTCACAACTGCATGTATCTAAGCAGACAGGACGACCCCCAACACACACACACACAAATACTGAACATGTAAGTGTCTGTAACTCATAAACAATAAGCCTGTGAAGGGCTGTGACATTGGATCAACTGGCTGAAATGTGGGTTATGGGTTATAGCCCGGATTCAGAAAACGGGGTCAAAGATATAACTACGTGTCACCATCTGATCAAATGACTCAAAGGACATAAAAAGGCAAATTGTGTTCGGTTGTTTTAGTCTTTAATCAGAGGATGAACATAATCTGGAAGACCCATCAGTAAATTTTGTGCAACCTCGTTTTTTTTTAGCAGATACTTCATTCAGAAAGTACCTCTGACACAGCAGACTCTGACTTATGGGAGCTAAGCCGATTGCCAAGAAAACAGAGATTCGACAGAGAATCAAGCAACCCCTTCGACTTGAACTGTCAGGGAATGTAAAGTAGGGAGTGGGTGAGCGGAGTTCAGCCATCCAATGACAAAATGAGGGCTGACAAGATTCAGATAGACAGCACCTTATTCTGAAGGATCACATATACACGCAGATCTGCAGCAGGAGAAAACTGGACTTTAATGTACGTGGAATATTTGCAGGAAAAAAAGACGCCAAGTTCTTCAGAGCTAATCTGTATCTGTGTCTGAATTCTGCTTTGTCGGCAGATGCTCCAAAGAAATGCTGCCTATTCAAGAGGCACAAAGTACTGTGCAGGCCAGAAATAGCTCCAGTCAGGTAAGCATGAATGATGTAACAGGAAAAGAAAGAGGGCTCTCTGCCAAGTCTCGTAGTCTACGACACTGACAGCCGCAGCCAGTGTTTATGAATGAATAACGCTCAGGGTCTTAATGACACCTGGGACTGACTCAGAGCAGGGACAGTGAGTGGGTGGACCTGGCGGGACAGGATGAGGTGGGGTAGCATCCGTAATGGGCCTGACGTATAAAAGGTGACTTTGAAACCCCCCTTAACTTTCTTTCCTTTTGTGTGATTAAAAATGAAACATCTTTGGGTTTTGGACTGTTGGTCTGACAAAACAAGCTATTTTAAGACTTTTAAGGCTTTAGGACTTTGTGATTGACATTAGGGCTGCAACTAATGATTATTATCATTACTGAATAACCTGCCAATTATTTTCTATTTGAACTGATTAGCTGTGTAGTCTAGAAAATACCCTAAAGATGAGGCAGCATCTTCAATTGTGTTATTTCAGTCACAAAGGCAGAACATCTTCTGAATTTAAAAGCATGACAAATTACATGAAAAACAAAATAATCAAAATAATTGGCACTTCATTTTTTAACCCTAACTCATCAACTGTTCACCGTCTTCCGACATCTTACAAACCAACAATTGATCACTTAATTAAGAAAATAATCTATAATTAAAATCATAGTTGCAGCTGGAATTAGATCCCTGATGGTTTAGTATTGAAATTATAAACTTTTATAGATCTTCCTCAGCTTAACATTAAACCAGGACAAATCGCTAATTGTCATTCATGTTTGTTCC